CCGCCGCGGGGCCTGGAGCCCAGCTGGCCACACGGGCCTCCCTATTCCAGGTTCTCCATCTCCCCTGCCAACATGGCCAGCTTCTCCCTCACGCATCTCACCGACTCAGACATGGAGCAAGGAGGTGAGCGGGAGCTTCCGGTGGGGGCTCGGGGCTCGGGGTTCTGTGGTGGGCGCCAGGCACCCCAGGGCAAGTTCCAGCCCACGGATTGCCCCCCTGGTGTGTACCCGCCACCTTCCTCTACCCCCCTCCCCACCTCTGCTGGCTGCCCTGTGGGCATGGGAACGCCCTAGGCACCCTGGGAATGTTGACTTTGCCATTAAGTGCCAGTCTTGGCCATCACAGGGGCCGCGGGGCAGGGTGAGGGGCAGGGCGCATTGCAAGTCGCGTTGTCTGAAGAGCCCCGCCCCCCCGCCCCCCCTCCCTTTCCCCCGTAGATGGAGTGATATGCTAGCTGGTACATAGCTTTATGTAAAGTTTGCAGACCAAATAAACATGCTGGAGCGTAGAGGGGTTTTATCTGTGCCTGCGCTGTGTGAGCGCCGATTAGATACTGCCGTTCCTGAACGGCCTGTCCGCGCCAGAGCTGCCCGCCCAGCCCGCACTGACATCGACCTGCGTGTGAGCCGAGCAGCTGGGCGGGTGAGAGGCCTGGCAGGTGCTGAGGATGGCCCCCTGCAGTCCCTGCTCTGCTTGTTCTCTCCTCCCCAGGAAGCAGCGAAGATGGAGAGAAAGATTAGGCCCCAGGCTGCTGGGCGGGAGCAGCATCCCCGCGGCCAGCCGAGCCACGACACACGCGTGCCATCTGCTGAGACGGGAGAGACTCAGTGGCAGAGGGAGGCCCCGCCGGGAGCACGTCCGACAATCCACGTCCTGGGGGCCTTCGCCCCGCTGTCCGTGCGTGTGTGCAGGATGCAGCCGCGTTCCCTGCATCCAGCCATGCGTACAGAGCCGGGTGCGGCCAGGACCCGCGCTGCAAGTGGGCACCAGTGAGCCATATTGTTCCCTTCAAAGAAATCACTGATTGCTTCTGTAATTGCACTGTGGACAACTGTTCTAAGAGTCCCCGATATTGTACAGAACCCTAAATTATTCCAGGAAACTCTGGCAGGTCAAGCTGGTGCTATCCACTAGTTTGATTTTTTTTGTTTTCTTTTTCTTTCTGTTTCACAGTGTGTTTGCTCTGCATGGTACTTGTAGCGCTTAACTATTTGGAGAGTTCTGCTGTCTTAGAGACGCTGGGGCTGTACATACGGTACTTTTTCGTGAATGATAACTGATTCCGAATGTCCGTGTTTTATGTTCTGACGGGAGTATTTTTGAGGAGTCCAAAAAGACTGCTCGGCTTTGTCGTTTGAATGAAACCCGTTTTTGTCTCTTTCCCCACCGTGGCTTCCTGTCTCACCTGAGGCTTCTCTGAGGAACCGCGGGGTCTTGCAGCCCCTCACGTGATTCTCTCACGCTGGCCCCCAGTTTTCTGAAGCCCTTTTAGTGAAAGAGGAGGTGGTAGGCCCGTCCGTGGCTCCGGGTTCGACTGTTGTGTCCCCACCCTCCCTTGCCCAGGGCGCGAGCACCCTGCTCGATAGCCATCTTGCTGTCAGTGTCCACTGCCTGGGGACCTTCCCAGTGTCCCCCAGCATTGCCATGTCCCTTAGATCCTCACGACCAGCTCCCGGGGTGGCATCTGCTACTGAGGAAAGACCCAGGTACCCCACAGCTGCCGCAGTTGGGTCCCTGTGTCACTTCGTTACCCGAATTTCTGCATGGTGTCCCGTGCTTGGGCCATGCCTGCCCAGGCTCTTCCAGGCCGCTGAGCCCGGTCCCCCAGATGTTGGTCAGTACCAAGCTGCGCTGACACTAGATCGCTCTCCAGGCCTGGCTGGGACACGAGCGGGCACCTGCAGGGCTCCAGGGCTCTGTGCAAGCAGTTACGCGGGCTCTGTGGTCCTGGCTCCCAGCAGGGCACCAGCGAGGCACTCCTCCCGTTCTCTGGATGATGTCTGGCCATGGGCACATAGATGGGGGTGGTTGACGGGGATTTCGCCGCACTCACCCTCTCAGTGTTTGGCTTAGGAGAATTTATTTTCTGCATTTTTACCTCTAGCCGCAGTCTGGTTGAGAGAGGAAAGAAAGGTGATTATACTCATTTTCCAAATGATGGGTTCGCATAGCCCCAACTGTGAATGACACAAGTCACACAAAATCCTAGAGTAGTCACCTTCAACAGTCAGCCCAAGAGAACAAGAGAAAGGTATTAATCGTCGGGGGCTGTACTTATTTTGTCTCTAATTAAGGAGATTTTTAACATAATTCCCATTTTATTTTAAGTCTATATTACTCTCATGATTAATTGCCAAAAAATGCATTTTGTACATTGAGTTGGGGGAGGGTGTGGAACGGTAGCTATTCTGTGGTGTTGCATGGTGGGGGAGATTTTATATTTATAATAAACATGTTGGTTAACATGTTATTTTGAAACCTCAAGCAATACACAGGAAATAAATTATGTAGATTAAAATTCCCAGCCCATTTCTGAAGTGATAGCATGTGCTTTGTTGTTGATCCTTTTTTTTTCCCCCTGTTGTTGTTGTTGTTTCTTTTTTGAAACTAAGTTGGTTCCCGGTTGTGGGTTTTCATACTGTATTTGTTCTCCAGTATGCAGTTCAGTGAATCAGCGGGGTTCTCCTAAGTGAGGTGAGGCTTGTGACTCCTGAGCCCCTAGACCATCTCCCGGGCCCTCTCTGGAACCTGCCAGATTTTACTTTATCTTTCTTTGCTGGAGTTTACGCGTTTCAGATCCTGTAGTGAAAATAATCTTTCCTTTCCACCCTTGCCCAGAGGTTGATTTGTGTTCTCAAATGACCCTGTCATAAGCCAGAAAGAGGAATGAAGAAAGGTGCTGCCAGGCCTGCCCTAGGGGCTGGGGAGGGAGCGGAGCCTCTTGAGGATGTCGCGGAATACGGAATGGGAAGCTACCTTCCCTCTCAGATCCCCTTGTCTGGGGAAATGGCTTCGCCGGGCTCCACCTGACCGTCGCCTTTCCACGCCTCGTCCTCGACCAGCATTTCCCACAGGTCTCTGTGGGGTTGATGACCCTCGGGAGGCAGCTCAGCGGTTAGAGGGTCTGTGAGGTGAGTTGGGTCCATGGAGCTCAACCTCAAGAAGTTTTCCCAGGGGGCCATGCTGTATTGGCTGTTAAACTAGAAAATTTTAAGGCTGTTAAAATATTCCCTTCAGGATAGAACTAAACTCTTAAAAAAATGTGTTGACAGTATTGAATTGCCAACAACCTGTGTAGGGATTGGCTGAAATATGTTCAAGTTGTCCTGGTGGCCCTGGCTGGGCAGAGCTGAGCACTGGACCGGCGTGGATGGCAGCTGCTTACTTCATTCCCCAGTTGAGGACCCAAGGGCCACCCCGCCTGCAGGACGCCGTGTCAGAGTTCAAGGCAATATAACCGTTAATGAACTTTGAATTTAAATTGTGTACATTTTTAAATTGTAAGATTTTTACTGTATATTGATGCATAGTGTGATTCAATAAATTGCTTGTAATTTAAAAACTATTTAATATTCAAAATAAATATAGATATATATTTATAAATTCCGTGGCTGCGTTTATTCTGTGACGTCTTCACTCGCCCAGGCAGGTGCCTGCCTTCCCGATGCCCTCACTGTGCCCAGTCGAGATGGGGGCTAGGGAGATAATAGGAAGGGCTGGAGTGTGATTCCAGGTATCAGCCCAGCAGAGCAGCAGCCTGACTCGTGGGAAGCCCCAGGCTCTGTCTCAGCACTGCCAAAATATGAAGGGCTGGAGAGGACATTTCTCCCCACACTCCAGGGAACAAGATTTGTAGAATTATTAAAAACTACATTTTGATGCAGCTTTTGTGCTGCCTTAAATTTTATCTAAAGTTTGTGGTGTTTGCGTGTACTGCCCAATCCCTGTACACTTTTGCTTCTGAGCCCCGGCCTCGGAGCACCAAGGCGGAGAGGCCGGTCTGCTCAAAAAGGCCTTTTCAATGTCCAGAGCAACCTCCTTGTCACCCTGCGCCCCTGTTCTCATTCCCGTCTGAGCAGCCACGGGCATGGTGGCCAGCTACAGGGCAAGCTGGAGACTGGCATAGCTCAGCTCACTGCTGCCCGGAGTAGACGGAAACCTTCAGTGCCCCTGTCGGGTGGGACGCTGCGGCCGCCACCAGGTGGGCTGCCTCGCGCAGAAACGGCTTGAACGCCAGCTGATTGGAACCCCTGGGTGGCAGCTGGTTTTGAGCCCAGACTGCCAGTTTCCCAAATGGGCTCTACGGCCTGCAACCAGTTAATTCCCGAGATCCGCACGCGGGTGTCCACGCAGGTGCTCTGCGCGCGCCCCGTCGGGCTCCGCCCAGCGTCCGGCCCCGCCTCTCCTTCCAAGCCCCGCCCCCGACTTCGCCCAGCGACTGGCCGGGTCCCGGCGCCGCACGGCGTCGGGCCCCGCCCCTCCCGTCAAGCCCCGCCCCCGGCTCCGCCCGGCGACCGGCCAGACCGCGGCTCCGCGCTGCCCCGGGCCCCGCCCCCGCCCGCCGGGCCCCGCCCTCTCGCACCTGGCCCGGCGCCCGCGAACTGGGGGAAGTCCCCATGCCACCTGGTCGGTCCGAAACATCGGGTGGAGGCGCGGGGTGCCAGGGCCGCAGCCCGTCTCAAACCCAGTATTCGCTGCAAGACGCCTTTTGCCAAAATCCTCTTTGGGTTGGAGTTCAGAGCCCTAACCCCAAGGCGGGGGGGGGTGAGTGCGGGAGGGGGCGGATGCGACCTGGGGCGTTCCCGGGACTCCCCCGCGGCTCGCGGGGGATTCAGGGCGGGGGCAGGGCGGCCCCGTCCCGCAGGTGCGCCGCCGCCCCCCGCTGGCGACACGCGGACACCGGCCCGCCCCGGGCCCGCCCCGCGAGCTCATTTACATGCGGCCGCGGCCCCGCCCGGGGCGGCTAAAGCTACGTGTCCTTGTCCCCCGTGGGCAGCCCGGCGCGTGCAGCCGAGGATCCCCAGGTAACTGGAGGTGGGAGGGGGGGATGCCTGGGGTGAAACCTGGGTGGGGGGCCATCCACATGGTCAGGCTGGACAGCCGCAGGCCCTGGTCATCGGTCTGCCGACCTTTGACAGCTGCCGCATGGCCACCGCGGGGGGTCCCCATGCTTGCGCTGAGAGTGGCTCCCGGCCCCTGCCTGCCTACACCGGGCAAACAGGACGCAGGGCCGCCTCAAACCTGGGTCAGCTCTGGGCGAGTCATAGGGGCCTGAGCTTAGGCGGTGCTGGGAGGTGAGTGAGGGGCACAGGGCCAGTCACGGGGACCAGGGCTCATCACCCAGGAGGAGGACCACCAGGTCAGGCAAAGGCCAAGGGTCAGACATGCTGTCCAGTGGGCACTGGAACATAAGAAGTTAGCTCTGGGCCCCGTTTGTAACTGGGGAGGACCCGGGGCATGGAGAAATCGTCTGCCCTGAGTGAGCTCTGGCCATGGGCAAGTGTCCACTGCTGGGTGACAACAGGGTGGCCTGTATTCTGGATTTCAGCTTCCCAGGCCTCTCCTCTGAGCCTTTGCCCCTAGGATCACTGCTGGGGCCATGAAGACCAAGAACCGGCCCCCCAGGCGCCGGGCGACCCCTCAGGACACAGAGGCCAGCCCAGCGGAGCAGACCCCAGACAGGCCCCAGCTGGGCTCTGGGCAGGAGCCAGCCAAGGGTCTGCGGAGCCGAGCATCACGGGCGCAGGGGGGCCGGGCTGAGGGTGGACGGCGGCGGCCTGGGCTGGCGGGACCTGGTGGCCGCCGGGAAAGCAGCATCCAGCGGCGGCTGGAGAGCAACGAACGGGAGCGGCAGCGCATGCACAAGCTCAACAATGCTTTCCAGGCGCTGCGTGAGGTCATCCCGCACGTACGCGCCGACAAGAAGCTCTCCAAGATCGAGACGCTCACGCTGGCCAAGAACTACATCAAGTCCCTCACTGCCACCATCCTAGCCATGTCCAGCGGGCGCCTCCCGGGCCTGGACGGGCCGGGCCCCAAGCTCTACCAGCACTACCAGCAGCAGCAGCAGCAGGTGGCCGGGGACACGCTGGACGCCGCCGAGGCCCAGCCCGAGGCCCACCTGCAGAGGTACTCCACGCAGATCCACAGCTTCCGAGAGGGCTCCTAGCGCCTAGCCCGGGGGCCACAGCTTCCTCCTGCTGGGGGCCCTCACGGCACAGGAGGTGACGCCCCAGAAGATCCAGTTTTCCTGAACTTGGCTGCCTCCTTGGGGCATGTCCTGACCTTCGGGGGGGCCAAGGCCAGTGAGTAACTCTGGGCAGTCCGAGGTCCTGGCCTTCTACATTGGACTCGGCAGTGGACTGGCCTTGGCCTGTGTAACTCATCTCTCTCCACCCTGACCCCTCTGGCTATCAGAAATCTGCGGGGAAACGTTCCTTTGGTAAGTTCCCCCACCATGGCCGAGGCCCCTTGTAACCTGCATCATAGGGCCAGGTGGGGTAAACCAAAGCCCAGGGCCAGCAGAGCCTGAAGCCACGTGGGAGGGTGGCCAGGCAGGGGTCTGAAGACCCTGGCTCAGGACCCCTCAGGATGGGGTAGCTGGGGCACGGAGCTGGTTCCAGGCTCCAGGCTCCAGGACCCGGTGCCACCCTTCTGGGCCCGTTGAGGAGGAGCCATGGGGTCCTGGCCTCCAGAGCAGTGGAATCAGCTTCAGCCTGTGTTCGGGGTGGTCCCTGCCACGTGGGGCCCTGGCAGCGCACTAGGTTGTTCCCAGGGCCTGGCTGGAATCCGGGCACCCTGCCTCCACCCAGGTGCCGCTCCTTCCTGGCGGGAGGGCAGCTTGGCCGGTGCCCACTGCCCCAGGCCAAGCTTCCTTCTGTTTGCGGCTGCTGGCTCTGACAGGCCAGGACTGTGCTCTCCTCCTCCCCCCAACCTCCCTCCCTGACCCCCATCCAGGAAGGAGACACAGCAGAAGGAGCTTGTGCTGGAGGAGTGCCTGCCTCATGGGGCCCATTTTTCTGAGCCCCGACTGTCCCAGAGGCCTCTGGGGCTCAGACTTCCCGAGGTGCTGGGTCAAGGTGGCCATGGCCAATGACCACATCTGTGCACAGGGGTCAGGAAGGGACTGCCTCCCCCCACCTCCAGATCCTGACAAGTCCAGTCTGACTATGGAACCAAAAGGGGCCTGCTTGGAGCCCAGGAACTGTGGGCGCTGCCAGAGGGGTGCCTCCACGGCAGGGACATGAGATGGCCAATGGCATTGTCCTAGCTCGGCCCCCAACTTGCGAATAAACCCAAGACTGACTGAGAGGAGCTGAGACAGGGCCCAGGCCTGGCTGCCTCATGTGGAACCTGATCTTCGTGGCATTTTCTCTGTCCCCCACCGGTACTGCTCAGGGGTGACACGTACCAAGGCCAGCTGCTCACCTGTGCAACGGTGGACCCCTTGCTCCTGGGGGACAGACTTTCCACCTGTCGGCCTGGACCCCAATTCTGTGCTGGACTTGGGGTCACCACCCTGCTCAAGTCTGAGACCTGGCCAGCGGGTCAGAGATGCCGCGACTGCCTGGCCTGCACCTGGGACCCGATCGGGGCTGGAGCTGGAGCTGCCAAACAGGCAGGACGGGAGTCAGGACTCGGCGCTGATACAGCCCAGTGTTGGGGGCTGCCTGGGGGGAGACAACTGGTCTGCAGTTGTCCTAGCGATCCCCTCTCAGAACCCATGAAGCTGCTCCCTGATGTTCCCCAAAACAGCACCCACCCCTGCACCGGCTGCTTGGAATGTCACAATAAAACAGACAGTCGCTTCCAAACACTTGCCCCAACTTTACTGCAAAGCCTCCGACTGTGCAGATGCTTGGGGGCTGGGCGTGCGAAGAGCAGGCTCAGTGAGGACATGTAGCCCTGAGAGGGCAGGGTGGTGCCAGTGCTGTGGGCCCCGCAATGTCCTTGTGCCCATCTCCAGGAGATGCTGCCAGGGAAGGGACCCCCAGGAGCACCCCGGGTCAGCTTCCCGGCGACCAGCACCCACAGGAAGCAGGGGAGCCTGGGGCCACAGAAACGAGACCAGAAGTCGGGACACAGGGTGGCCAAGGTTGGGGTGCAGCCCCCAATCCAGTGTTTGCTTCCAACCTGCCACCCTTCTGTGACCCCCAAACTCCACCCCGGGACCCGCCTCTGAGAAGGGACAGGCACAGCAACTCTGACCCCAGGGTCCTGGTTGCAGGTGGATGCCTGGGGCTCGGGGACACAGGGGTTCCCGTCCTGGAAAGCAGGGGGGGGGGCAGAGCCACGCCAGCCCAGGCCTCCTCACACGCTCGCGCGTGGGGCGCTGTCCGGTCTCCAAAGCTTCACATTTCTAGGTGCCCTCTGCCAGGGTCCCTGAGGGGATGGTGTTCTCGGGGCCAGGCTCTGTTCCAAGGCCGGGCCCCATGCTTCCACATGGGGGACTCCCATCACCGCGATCCTTCCATCCGGGGGCTTCTCACGACATTTCCACTCGTGGCTCAGCATGCCTTGATTCTCCCACTAGGCCCCTTCCACGGTGGCTCAGCAGCACACGGGGCCCACGGCCTCCTTGGGGTCCCCGCTGGGCGCCCTGCTTGACTCCCGGGCTGTGTCCTGGGTCTCATTTCTAGGGGCCCTGGTCGCGTTGGCCCGAACCGAGATGTGGTCCCAGCCCCCCTGCAAGCAGAGGCCATGTCCTGAGGGGCTGGATTGCAAGCAGGGATGGTCCCAGACCCCACCCCCACACCCCCCTGCAGCCCCGCCTGTTCACTCTGGTCCCGACCCCACCCCACTGGAGACCCCGGACCCCTGTGGCCCCACTTGCTCACCCCAATGCCGTAGTCCCAGCCCTGGCCCTCGGGCGTGGGGGGCCGCACCCCGACACGGTGGCACACGGTGCCCCGGCTGAGGCTGTGACTGCCCTGCACCTTGTCGGCGATGACCCAGACCTGGTCCAGGGGCCCCACAGACACCAAGCGCACGTTGTTGGACACGTGTGCCCAGCTGCTGCCCTGTGGGTAGCTGGGCGTCACCCCCCGGCGATGCCATAGATTCCCTGGAGAGAGAAGGGAGCTGAGGCCCAGGGTCACAGGAAGGCCACACTCCCAGCATGGCCCTGGGGGTGTCCCCCGACCCCCACCTTCAGCACTACTCCTCTGTGGGTGCCCCCGTGCAAGTGGGAGTGGGGACCTCACATGGGGGACCCCGAAACTACCAATCCCGGGGTAGATCAGGGGCTCATTCCATCACGGTGCTTGGCGGAGGGGTCCCAAAGGCTCCCCAATGCCCACTTGCCATTTTCGTCCAAGGCGAACACGGACGTCTGCCCCACAGACACTTGCTTCAGCCTTTGCTTGGGGGGTGATGGGATGTGGTACCAGCAGTCACCTGCAACGGTCACGGGGCACCATGCAATGGGCAGTCCGCCCAGACCCCAGCCCTGGCCTCATCTGGACCCCTGGGTCCTACAAAACGGGACCAGCGAGTGGGAACCCCGAGTCCAGGTGCAAAGAGCCGGGCAGCACGCATGGCAGGGTGGGAGGTCAGACCCCCACGGAGGGGGCCATGTGGACCCCCCCCCCCCCGTCCCCGGGCTCCCCGATGGCCTTAGGAAATGCTTGTGCGGCTGAACTGGACTTGCCAGCCCCTTGAAGCAGCGCACAGGGAGATGGGCTGGGGGGCCACCTGGGGTGTGCGCACTCACCAGCCGGCTGCGAGGGGGACACGGCGCCCCGGTAGAAGGCGGAGCCGTCCCTGGCCACAGCCCACACCTGACAGCAGCTGCCAATGGATATGGAGCTGAAGGGCTGGTCCGTGCCCACGTGCAGCCAGGAGCAGCCCTGAGGGGCAGACCTGAGTGAGGTCCAGGGCCAAGGCTGGGGGGGTGGTCCAGGGTGCCCTCAACACCCGTCTCCCTACCCCCCACCCACTGCCCGCAGAGCCCAGGGGCCTGGGGTGGGGGGGCAGGCTGGGCCCCACTGCTGGATGCTCACAGCGGGGTTGAGTTCAGTCACACCCAGGCGACACAGCACGTCCCCCTTGTCACTGATGGCCCAGAGTGCAATGGCCTGGCCATGCTCCGGTGTGCCAGGGCCTTCGGGCATGATGGACACATCCGCCAGGCCCACTGGGGCCACCTCCAGCCACGGGCCGCTGGTCAGCAGCTTGCACTTCCTGTGTGGGGGAGACTCGGGGCTTAGTGCATGGAGCTCCAGAAGGCGGGGAGGGGGTGAAGGGCCAGTCCCCACCCCCACCCTGGGGGCAGTGAGTGACATTTCTCTTATTTGCTCTAGAAAACAAACGCAGAAACGGGGAGCCTGGGTGCCCGCGGGCACTTCCTGGCCTGACATTTACTTTGATTCCTTGCCCCGCCCCCGCCCTCCCCATTTCCTACAGGGGGGCCCCCCCACACCCCACCCCTGCCAACTCAGCCCTTACCTGGCCCAGCACCTTCTCCTGACAAAGTCCTTCATGGTCTTGTACCCATGGTAGGAGCTGTGAGAGAGAAGCCAAGACCCAGACCACAGCGTGGAAGTTTCTGGAAAGTGACACTGCACAGGCCCGACGGGGCAGGGCTGTGTGTTGGGGATACCTAGAGGGGACCCTAAGCCTTCCCAGCGGTGGCTGTCCCACCTAGGCTGCATTCAGGGGATAATGTATGCTTCCCACCGGGCCCCTAGGGATAGTCCAGCACAGCTTCTCAGAGGCCTGGCAGGGCTCTGGGGCACTGTCAGGACCTGAGGGGGTGCAGCCCCCAGACAGGGCAGGACTGACACCCCCTTCTCTTACTGCCTCGCTCTCCAGGACACCCCTGGACTCACTCCCTGCTGGGCTCAAGCTTCCAAGTGGTCCCCTCCCCAGGGCCTGGCCCAGAGCCCTTGCAAAGTGTCCCTGAGGCCACGACACTCCCTCTAGGGACCCCAGACAGGCCTGCAAGCCCTCCTGTGCTGGCTGCTGGTGCTCACGGACTCTCCCACGCCCCCCCACCCCGCCACAGGAGGGGCACAGTGTGGCCCCCAGAAGAGATGCTCACGCAGGGAAGTCGCTGGCATACTGCCACCCCTCATGGTCCGTGCCCTCGGGAACGCTGAAGTCCACGAACCAGTCTGAAACCTGGGGAGGGGCCGGTCAGTACAGGCACGTGCCCCTTATCTCTGCCCCGACCTATCCCCTTGTCCCCTGCTCACCCAGGTCCACTGCAGGGAGGGGGGCTTTGTGCCGGCCTTGGTGCACTCCTGAAGGCCAGAGGCATCGCTCCACATGTACCGGTCCGTGGGCAGACCCCTGCGGGAGGAGAGTGGTAGTGGACACTGGCATTGTCCTGTCCCCTGAGAAGTCCCAACCCAGGGAGAGAGGCCACCAGAAACAGGGTGTGTGTGGAGGTCAGGGTGAGCCAGAGCTGTGTTCACTCCGACAGTGGGAGGGAAAGGGGCAGTTGGCCGGGGAAGGAAAGCACCACGCGTGGGGTGGGCTGCGGCAACCACACAGGAGGACACCATAAGATTTCTACTAGTAGGTGTAGGATTGGGAGGAACTGTCCCCTGGCAGCAAAAATCTATGGGTTTTTTAAAATTTGTTTGGGGGCGACACCTGGCAGTGCTCAGGGATTATTCCTGGCTCTGTGCCAGGGCTCACTCCTTGTGGGTTTGGGGGACCATATGGGGTGTGGGGATTGAAGCTGGGTTGGCAGTGAGCAAGACAAATGCCCCCCCCCTGCTACCACTGCTCCATCCTTGACTTTAGAAATCTGGATTCCAGCCTGAACTGAGAATCAAGAGCTACATAAGTTACCTGGAGTGGCAGAGCCCAGGTGGCACTCGGATCCCTCAGGTGGGGAGCTGTGCTCCCCGGGGGGTCCAGAAGGCACCTCTTCCCAAGGCCCAAGGTGGGTGGGTGGGGCACCAGTGGGGCATGAGTGCCTGCAGGGTGCGCGGCAGCCACTGGCATGAACAAGCTTGGGCCCTGTCTCAGCTATGAACAGAGAAGCCACAGATGGGCACCGGAAGCTGCTCACCAGCGTGGTACAGACAGCTGGGTAGAAAAGTGGGGACCCCCAGCACAGGATGGAGCCATGGGCTTCCCACATGCAGGCTCTAGCCTGAAGTCACCTCCTGGACTGGATTCAGGTGGTAAAGACCACGACAAGAGTCCCCTGAACTGCCACTGAGGGGGCAAGAACTGAAATTTGAGAGCTATGGCATTCCCCGGAGCCTAAAGCAATGAAATCACCATTTTTTGGGGAGGGTCACACCTGGTGATGCACAGGGGTTACTCCTGGCTCTGCACTCAGGAATTACTCCCGGCAGTGCTCAGGAGACCACAGTGGATGCTGGGAATCAAACCCATGCAAGGCAAACACCCTACCCGCTGTGCTATCACTCCAGCCCCAGAACCACCATTTTTTGTCTCCCCAGAAAACTGCAAAAGAGCCAAAGAGGAGTTCAGGATGGGGAGAGAGGGAGCAAAGGGGAAGGCTCAGGACCAGGCAGCGTGGGGTGGGAGCAGCCAAGTATTGGCACTGGTGGGGGGGGGTCCCCAAGGTCAGCGGCCCCTCTCGGTGTTTCTGGGTGCACACACCTGTGTTCCAATATCGGGCACCGAGTGGGTCACACAACCTCTGTGTACCCCACATCTAAAGACAGTTTCTCCGACGTGTCTTGGTGCCTGTCAACTGCCCCTACCTCAGGCATGGCCATGCTGGGCCACCGTCCCTGACCTCAGGTGTGGCCATGATGAAGCCCTGTCCCCCACCTCAGGCTCAGCTGTGCCGGGCTGCCACCCCCCACCTGGCAGTGTAGCCTGTGACGGGGTTCCAGCGCTGGTTCTCGTAGATGCGGACACACTTCACGTCTGACTGCGGGTAGACGTTACTCGAGGCCAGTCCTGTGGGGAGGGGAGGCTGCGGGGGTCAGGCCTCCCCTGATCAGTGGACCAAGGTAGGAGCAGGGACACAGATTCATTCACTGCTCTGGCTGCATTTCTCAGCCTCCTGCCCCCACCCCCAGCTGCCTCTGCTCACTCCCTCCTGGGAGCCTCCAGAGCCCCAAGGCCAAAGGTGAGTTTCTGGCCATTCTCCAAGCGGGGTGGACTGTTTTGCTCCCAGAACTCGGGGTGCCCTGGGGGGTTCTGCGAGCTCATTCCCTAGCACAGGAACAGATTCCAGGGGGTGGGATCATCCAGGGGTGGGATCATCCAGAGCTGGGCATCAAGACCTGGGAGGGTGGGTGGCCCAGGGCTGCCCCCCTGGCCTGAGGCCTCAGCTGTGATGCACTGGGACATGGTGGGGCTGCCCCCTCTAGAACCTTCCAAACCCTGTCCAGTATGAGTGTGTGGGAAGGAGCTGGCGCTGAAGGTCACTCAACTCAGGATGGAGGAGGGGATAAGGGGAGGGAGTGCACGCGGGGGTGGGGGGGAGCCCTCACCTGAGAAGCAGCCCCCGCCATAGCCGCCAGTGTAGACCCAAGCCGTGTGGTCGTACCCGATGCCCCATACCACGCCTCGGCCGTTGGCCTCCACAGCCCGCAGGTGGCCCCCCATCTGCCGCCAGAACCTGGGAGCACAGGGAGAGGGTGGGAACATGTCCCAAAGGGCTTTCCAGTCCTCGTTCCCAGCACCCTACTGCACCCCAATACCTATTGAGACAATGGGGCCACCTGTCCTCCCCAGTGGGTGCCACTGTCGGGAATCCTATGGGTGTGAGACCCTCAAGAACTGCCACCTGAGCCCCAAGCCACATGGGGGGATGGAAGGTGCATGGCCCAAAGCCACTACCACATGCGCACCCTGAATGTCACATTACCTGGTAGGTCCACCCTGAGGCGCTTGCACAGGATGGGGGGCTGGGGCCTGGGACATAGTGAGCGGGGTGGCGGGACCCCCCTTCTGGAAGCACAGCCCAAGAGGCCTGGTCACTCACATCTGGTCACAGGGCAGCGGGTGCTCAGCGTCCTCCAGGTGCAGGCCTGGCTCGCTCACAAAGATGTCCCCCTTGCAGGTGACAGACCAGATGGCCTGCGGGGACGGGCGGCCATGCAGCCTTCGGCTCTCGCAGCAGGACTGGCTGAGCAGGGCGAGCTGGGCAGGGACATGGCACATCAGCAAGGGTGGGGCTGGGTGATGGGGGCCCAGCTGCCCCCACCCGTGGGACCCTCACCCAGTCATTCATATCCTGCTCAGTGGCAGCTGCCAGCCGCACGGGCCATCTCTGGTGTGTCCTCTCCGGGGTGTAGAGCGCGAAGGAGTGTTTGGTCTCATTGAGCACCGGCACCAGTGCCGTCACCTCGTTGAGGAACAGGTGGATGTACTGGTGACAGAGGCGAGTGTCGCCTTGGGGCAGGGGACACACACCTTGGGGGCCACCTCCACCCCATACAGCTGGTCCAGGGCTTGGGTGGAGAAGGGGGCAGGCTGAGCAGGCTCTTAAGATGAGGGTGCAGAGGGGCTCGAAATCACTGGGTACCCCTGAGTCCCGACCCAGCCTGGGGGCGGCACTTTCCAGATGCAGGTCCTGGTCCCCCCTACGGCACCTTCTTCTCCTCGTGCACCATGTAGTAGACAAAGAGGATGCTGTCCCGGGCGCCGTCGAGCCCCGTGAACTGCTCCAGCGCCACGCGTACGTCCACCCACTTGTGGGGTTTCCAGTTGCACCACCACTGCAGGGTCCCCGTCTTCACCCACACCGACTGCAGGGAGAGTGGGGGGCGGGGTTAGGCGGGTGGGCGGGGCCGGCAAGCCAGGTGGGGTGGGGTTAGGCTGGTGGGCGGGGCCAGTCAGGCAGGTGGGGGCGGGGTTAGGCGGGTGGGCAGGGCCAGTCAGGCAGGTGGGGGCGGGGTTAGGCGGGTGGGCGGGGCCGGACATAAGGGGTAGAGGCAGAAAGATGGGGAACCCTTCTGTCCTGCATTCCCTGCTTCCCTCAGGTTCGTTGGGGCTGCTGCCCATGACAGGAGGGGTGCTGGGTGCTGCCCCGAGGTTTTGCAAACAAGGGTGGCCCCAGGCAGGAACCCGATACTTCCTAGGCCTGAACCTGGGAACTGTGGCAGGGCTGCACAGGCCAGGTCGGGGATTGGTCTGTCCCCCACCCTGTGCCCCTGTGGCATCACCACACCGGGAGCACAAGGGTTGGCCTGAGGCCTGTGGGTGCCAGGGTAGTCTCGGGGCTGGTCCTCTGGCCTGGGTGGGCACCCACCTGCTCCACGGCCTGTTCGTAGTGGCGGAAGTTCTCCAGCTCCCGCTTGGTCCTCTCTGTGAGCTGCTGGAAGATCTGCTTGCGCCAGGCAGCGGTCTGGGCGGGTGTGATGGACAGGGACAGCGACTGCATAGACGAGGACAGGCCTGTGGGCAGCCGAGATCTCAGGGGCTGCTGGGGCACCTCTCGGAGAGGTGGGGACGGGCTGGGAGGCCCGGCATCCATCCCCAGTCTTACCCGAGGGGATTGTGAACCACTTGAGTGCGGCGTGGGATTCCACAACGCAGGCCCCTCCTGATACCCAGGCCCACAGCAGGTGGTCGGCAGCGGCGGCGTAGGGCTCCTCCAGTGCCAGTGTGGGGCCAGGCACCCGCGGGGCCTCCTTCAGGTCAATGTTGGTCCAGGGCAGCTCAGCTGGGTCAGGGTGCAGCTCGGGCCCCAAGGCCTGGGGGGCTGGTGCAGGGGCCTCGTCGCACTCCGGGTTCCTGGGGCCATCCACCAACTCTGCTGGGACGGGCTGCTCAGACCCAGTTTGCTCAGCCTCTGCGTCACTCGGCATGCAGGACTCGCCACTGCCCCTCACCTCGTCACCGAAGAAGCATCCAGCACTGGAGGGAGGAAGTGTGCATGAGCCCCAAGAGGACGTGCTGGTGGGGGCATCAGCTCAGCACACACCCTCCCCGTGCCCTCTTCCTGAGAGCTGGACGTGGCCCCTCTCTGTGCCTGTGGGTAGACGGGGCGGGGCAGCACTTTGCACTGAGCCAAACTCGCGCTGAACTGTGGCGCCCACTACTTGGGTTTGGGGGCACTCACGGGGCCCTGGGCCAGGAGCACTGAACTTGAGCATTCACATCATGCGATGCAACAAACCCGCTGGCCCTGACTCCAGGGGAGCTCGTGCCTGCTTTCCGCCCTCTCTGCCCCTATACCAGCTGCCTTGCCAGACTCTCAAGAGAAGTGGCTTCCCCGGAGGGGACTGAGCATGACAGTCCTCCTTCTCGAGCCTGGTGTTCCCCGAGGCCATGTCAGACAGAGCAAAGCGCTATGGCACCTCCTGGTCACACTGGCTGGTCTCCACCTTCAGCTCTTATTGAGGGTGCGTCGTGTTATTCACAAGTGACAGCTTAAATGTCAGCTTCCACTATTTTTTTTTTTTTTTTTGCTTTTTGGGTCACACCTGGCAATGCACAGGGGTTACTCCTGGCTCATGCACTCAGGAATTACTTACTCCTGGTGGTGCTTGGGGGGGGCCATATGAGATGCTGGGAATCGAACCTGGGTCGGCCGCGTGCAAGGCAAACGCCCTATCCGCTGTGCTATCACTCCAGCCCCACCAGCTTCCACTTTAAGGGTGGAGGACAGCCACAGCCAGAGGTGTTCAGGGATCACTCCTGGTGGTGGCGGGGGACAGAAATGGGTCTCTGGCATACACAGGTTGTGCTCAGTCCTCCAGCCTCGGCTCCTGTCTCCCCGGCTTGAGGATGCCCTGCCAGTCTGTACCCTGTGGCAAGGGAGGGTCCCCACATCCTGTCCACACTTGCAGCCCATTGTCGTGACAGCTGTCCCGCGGTGGAAGTGGGTCTGTGGCTATAATTTGCATTTCCCTAAAGGTCGCCCACAGCAGCTATGCACCTGCTGTGACCCCGAGCCCCTGGGGAGGCGCACCCATCACATTCTTTACCCTTTGGGTTTCTGTTTTGTTTTGTTTTAGGGGCATGCTGGGCTGGTACTTGGGGGATCCTGAGGTGCGGGGTCAAGCGTGGGCTCAGGTTTGCAGGCCCCTGCTTGGTCCTCAGACATCTCTCCTTGGGCCCTTTGGTCCTTGTAGGATAACATTGGTTTGTCCTTTCCGCCTTGCAACAGGGAGCTTAGGTTTATTGGGTTACTCCCATCACAGTGCTTCCATTCCTCTGTGTTTATTTGTAACCTCCTTCTTTGTGCTCTGTTGACTTTAAATACTGTTTTTCTCTTCTCCTTAAGTCCCTTGCATAGTTAATTCAGCGCAATGTCCTTTTTGAATGGCCAAAAGAAGACAGTTAATTTGCTTTTGTAACTTGGGAGTTAAATGACTCCGAATAATATTCACTTCTGGGCATCTGTTCTCTTGACTTAAGTCTCAGTTGCCCTGACTTCCTAGCACCCCGAAAGCAAGGTCCCAATGAGGGACTGGATGGACCCAGGGCAAGCTGTGAGTTATGTGCTACCCTGGCATCAAAATGGGCCCGGCCAAATCACCATAATACTTAACTATAAGTTAAGAACATGGTCATGGACAAATATTATCTAAAAAGTAATAACTAGGTTCGGACCCTGCTAGGATTAGGAAAGGTTAATCTGGCCTGAGCACTGTAGTCTGAGTCTGGTGAGATGTTCCCAGGAGAGCCACTCTACAAGCTCAATCTATCTGTGTCCATAAAAAATAACTAATATTAAGAAGTAGCGTTAAGATGTAATTAAATTATTGGACTGAGGAAAGGAGAAAAACACCTTAAGTGGTGAGCAAACACCTTTCCTTGTGAGCAAAGGAAGAGCTTTCTTATGTTGATTTTGCTATTGAACTGGGTATAGAGTCTACCTCCAATGTTGGGGAGTTGGAGAGAGATGGGAGAGAGCGCAAGGCAGCAAGATGGAGCTCGGAGAGACTAGCAAGGGGGCAGAGGGAGAAGAATGTAGAAGAAGAATAGAGGATGGGGCTGGAGCAATAGCATAGAGGGTAGGGTGCTTGCCTTGCATGCGGCTGACCGGGGTTCGATTCCCAGTATCCCATATGGTCCCTGAGCACCGCCAGGAGTTAAGTCCTGAGAGTAGAGCCAGGAGTAACCCCTAAGCATTGCCGGGTGTGACCCAAGAAAGCCAAAAAGAAAAAGAATGCAGGAGCAGGCACGTGGAGAGAGAGAGCCCAGAGAGCTCAGGGGACCGTGGGTGGTACCAGGGATCCTAGGTAAGCTGCATGTAAGGCAAGTGCCACCTCCCTGTACTGTCTTGGCCATTTTTAATTGGGCGCTTATCAAAGCGGAAGACGGCAGATTCTAGCTCTGGCCCCTTGTCCGACAGTCTGTGAAACTGCCCTGTGTGAGCTGCTCTGGTTGGCACACAGGGTCTTGGGGGGCTCAGACATTCTGATAATATCCAGTTTCTTCTGTGTTGTACAGTGAGGCTGGAGGGGACCCTCAACTGAGGGACCGAATCAGACCCTCCAAAAAAAAAAAATGGTGGTACACAGTGGTACACGGCGGGGCAAACAGGTTTATGCTGAGGTGTGGCGGCACCGGGCGCAGACAGGAGCAGAGGAAAGGCTGTGGGGACCCGGCCTGGCTGGGGTGTGACAAGCTCTGCGGGGTCCTGGTTCCAGCCGACAGTTCTGTGTGCGCCTGGACTGGTACCAGGGCAGGGCTTCCCACCCCCACCTCAGCCTTTCCATCCCCCGACAGTCAGCACACCTGGGATCTTATGAGAAATGCAAAACCTCCTCCCCAGGGCCAGATTCGCTGAAACAGAAACTGGGGGGTTGGGGCCAGGGAACCAGATACCCCACCATGGGGGCCCAGTGCTGAGCTGGCTTCTCGCACTGTCTCGCCACCCTGCTGGGGACCCTGCAGGGATAGATGTGCCACCCCAGCCGCAGTTCACCTATCACCTCTCCCACCAGCCATGCCCAAGGCCACCGCTAGCTGAGCCTGGATCCTGGACCCTGGACTCCTCTCAAGGTCTCCCCGCAGTCACCTGAGCAGGCTGGAGGAGCTCCCTGAGTGGGAACGGTCACAGTCCCGGCCGGCCATGATGACCTTCCACATCTTGCCACTCAGCTCACTTGGGGTGACGCCCTGCCGGAAGTAGATGGCGCGGTCCTCCCCGCCGATGCCCCAGACCTGCAGAGACAGGGGCTGGGTGAGTGCACTTCCAACAAGGCAGAGGACTGTGTACTACAGCAGGATGCTAAGAGGTGGAAGGAGAGTAGCGCTTGGGAGTCCCCAGCTCAGGAGAAACATGGGCGCCACCTCTAGACACTGAGACTCATGTGAGCCCAGAGGGTGGTGCACCCAGAACCCTGTCTGTGACCCCGATTTCATTTTTTTTTATGAGGGAAGGGTCACCCCTCGGGCTCTGGACCACATATGGGAGCACAGGGAGGGCGCATCCCTTCCCCTGGGCAGAGCTGCTAATCAGTGCCATGGAAGGAAGGTATCTCGCTTCAAGGCCCCCTCAAAGCCCACCACCCCCCAGTAGGGTCCTGGGGAGCTGCATTCGAGGAGGAACTTCAACCCCTGAGTTGGGGAGGAATTTCCTCCATGGGCAAGTGGCAGCCCCAGCAACCTCAGGAGGGCCAGGAGGGATGGTCAGGGAACCACAAACCTGGTCATGAAGCCCGACACCAACCATCAGCATCTCCCCGACCATTGCCACCCAGCTTGTGCCACAGGGATTGTGGGAGTTGACGCCTCTTCGAAACCAAACCTGAGAAGCCAGAGACACAAGGGCTTCTTGTAGTGGGGTGACTGACGCTGGAAGTGGCAGGGCCCCCCCAACAAGTGGGCTCAGTGCTGGCATCACTGGGGACCTTGGAAAGGAAATGTCTCTGCTCCCCACCCCACCTGGGGCTGCGGGTCACCTGCTCAGATGTACCTGTCCTGGGGCTTCTTGTTTGTTCTCTGGCTGCCTGATTCTTTTGAGAACCTTCTCTCCACCAGTTCACACTAGGGGAAGCCTCTTGACACAGGGTAGTAGCCAGCTCATTGCAACAGTGAGGGGTGGGGAGGGTAGAGGTGCCCCCTGGGAAGTGGGAGGCAGGGCAGTCCAGCCACATGTTGAATGCAGATGGGAACCCTTCTCATTTTTTTTATTTTTTGGGTCACACCTGGTGATACTTAGGGGTTACTCCTGGCTCATGCACTCAGAAATTACTCCTGGCAGTGCTCGGGGGACCACATGGGATACTGGGAATTGAACCTGGGTTGGCCGCGTGCAAGGCAAACGCCCTACCCGCTGTGCTATTGCTCCAGCCCCCACAGAACCCTTCTCATTAAGTTGGTCTCTGAGGGGAGGATCCTCATGGTGGGATGGAGGAAAATCTTTCCTTTCTTGCCTCATTACCATGACAAGCTCTATCTTTGCCAGTGTTTTCTGAAATAGTCTCTTCTAGGCTAAACAGCATGTGAAAATATAAATAGAAGGGCTGGAGCAATAGTACAGTGGGTAGAGCACTGTCTTGCATCTGACTGACCTGAGTTCCATTCCTGGGACAGCAAACCCTGAACTGCTAGATGAGACCCTCACACAAAAAGAAACAACAAAAAAAAGCGCGGGGTTTGGCAGATTCCAGTGGTCACCAGCAACCTGCCCTCTGCTGCAGGAAAGGCTGGAGCAGGCGCGGGGAGGCGACCCAGGACCAGCTTGGAAGTGGGGACCCAGCAGTGCCTGTGCTTTGGGTGAGGGCGCGGACTGGGGGGGTCCAAGAAGTGGAATCCGCACCCTGGAACACTGCCCATCTTACCTTGCGGTCCTTGGTGACAGCCCAGACCACGCAGACACCGACAGACACGTGCATGATCCCATTCTCGGTGGTGGGCGGTTCCACCACAGACCAGGAGCTCCCTGCCCGGCCCCCAAGGAGAGTAGGGTACCCGTCAGAGAGGGAACTCCACTTCCCCCTGCCCCCTCCCCCTGCTCCTCAGTGCCCACCTTTGGGATTGTTCCTGCTCACGCCTTCACGGACCAAGGCCTGCCCCTCCCAGAGTGTGGCCCACAGGAGGTCATGGGGCCCGCAGCTGACCTGTGCCACCTCCCCTGGGGTGTCCACCAGGGACCATGAGGAGCCTTCGGGGCTGCAGTGGCTGACGCCTTCTCTGTACCATACCTGGGGGGTGAAAAGCCCACGGGGAGGTCAGGCGCACATTCAGGGTTGGGGGCCAGGGCAGACTTGCAACTTGTACCCCCATGTCCCTTCCCGGCACACCACTTCCCACCTTGCCAAAGTCAAACCCCTCAAACCTCAACTTCAGCCTTCCTTGGGGTAGGACGGGGTCCCTTCGTGTGTGTGAGAGCCCCCAAATCCCTACCCCACTCATCCCCCCACTTCCCACATTCCCTCCTCATCCTGCTCCTTTCCCACCTCATCCCCCTCTCACCCACGCCTCAGAGCGGGCGCTGGTGCCCTGCGCCCCCTGGTGGCCAAGTGCCCAACTGTGCTCTCTAGGGGAAGCTGGGGTCCCTGAAGGTTAAACAGGAACACCCCAAATCTCCCCTTCACAGAGGCATTGAACACGCTCGCTCCTCCTCTCCCCGGCCTAAAGGGGATGTGCAGCCAGACACCGGGCTCAGCACAGGCCTGCTGGGGCTGTCTGTCCTTATATGAGATACACTGCTGAGGGTGCCTGCTGCCTACTCTGCTCTTAGAACCTCCTGGTTATGTTACACCTGTCCAGTCTCTGTCCACCCGCCCACCCTCCCCACCATACACACACCTGCCCAGTCACTGTCCACCCGCCCACCCTCCCCACCATACACACACCTGCCCAGTCACTGTCCACCTGCCCACCCTCCCCACCATACACACACCTGCCCAGTCACTGTCCACCTGCCCACCCTCCCCACCATACACACACCTGCCCAGTCTCTGTCCACCTGCCCACCCTCCCCACCATACACACACCTGCCCAGTCTCTGTCCACCTGCCCACCCTCCCCACCATACACACACCTGTCCAGTCACTGTCCATCTGCTCATCCTTCCTCTCACCTGCCCTCCCACCCCTTATGCACCCATCCATATACCTACCTACCTACCCTCTCTCCCCGTTGCTCTCCCACCTCCATGCACCCATCCATACACTCACCCATCCATACACCTGCCCTCTACCCCCTCCCCCCACCCCCCTCCATGCACCCATCTATACACCCGCTCTCTCGCCCCCTCCCGCCACTCCCCCCATGCACCCATCCTTCCGTGTACCCTCCCCCTTCCATCCATCTTCCCCAGTTCCTCCCAACAATTCCTGTTTGACTATGTGGAGGCCCCATGAGGACTGGTGCCCCAGGGATGAGACCCTCTTGATAGCACGTGGACCCACAGTGGGTGCTCCTTAGTGTTCTGGGAGCTTAGAGGAGAGCAGGGCAGGCCCAGGGTGGGTGGCTCAGAGGAGCAGGGTCTCAGGGGTCCCCAGGACAGGATTCCTGGGGGACAACTGTGGGCACAGGCCACCACCTGTGCGGGGCAGTTCTGATGCAGGTGTCAGGTGCCCTGCTCCCTGCCTTCCTGCAGGTACACATAAGGGCCGAGCCTTACCTTTCCCTGCAGGGACACAGCCCACACTGACAGGTGACCCACAGGCTCGTCTGTGACCTCCCACCCTCCCACCGAGAGGTCGTTGAAGGGGTCCTCCAGCTGCTGGGGGTCGTCATCCATGGAAGGGATCTAGATTGAACCAAGAAAGAATGAGGCTGGGGCCACCACCCTGGGCACCAGGCCAACAGGTGGCGCCGTGTCCCTCTTAGGGGCCTGGGGGTTCGCCCACATGCCCCTCCTGATTACCGGCCCCCTTTCTCCACCCGGTCCTCCGTGTCTCACCAAGCCTGGTGTGAGCTCCCCCGCTCTAGACCCACTGGGATGTGACCTGTGGGCCTTTGTCCAGGGTTCTGAGGGGCTCAAGCCTGTGTGTCCTCCAAGGACACTCAGGAGCCCTGTGCGGGCCTTGAGTCCCTAAGTTGGGAACTTCCTCTGAGTCTGGAGAACAGCCCGGGAGCCAGAGCAAGGCAGGAGGGTGTGAGGGGCACAGCAACAATGACCAGACCAGCTCTGGGCCAAGGCAGCCAGACCCCACGAGCCAAGAGGCACATGACAGGATACATCACTGGGACAGGGCACCTCTCAAAGGCCAGGGAGCTGCAATGCACACATGACCTTCCACGGAGCCCTGCCCCTAGCCGGCCCCACCACACGGCCCCCAAACCTTGGCCCAGGTGTCTCGGGACTTGTACTTCCGGTAGCGGATCCAGCGCCGCCGCCTCACGCAGGAATTCCACTTCTGGTCCCTGGTATAGGTGGCCGGGAAGTCGATGGCATAGGTCCAGCCCTGAAAACAGGAGAGTGCTCTTAGGGTCGGGCTGCAGGAGATGCCGAGGGAGGCAGATGGGGGAAGATGAGGCAGGACCCAGCCAGGTCAGGGGTGATGGATGCTGGGGCGAGAGGGGGGAAACTGGGGGACAGCCGAGCCCAGAGCGCCCCTCCCCACACAGCCACAGAGGAAACCCCGTTCACCTACCCCTTTCTCGGTGGGTTCCCCGCCAAAATTCTCATCCACGTACCAGTCCGACTCCCACTCCCAGTGTGGCGAGGGCAGCGCCACCCCGTCCAGCGGCCGGGGCTGGAGGCCACTCACGTCACTCCACCCCCAGCGGTCGCTGGGCAGCAGCTTCTCACAGAAGCCACCCACCGGGTTCCAGCGCTGCGGGTCAACCAGAGAGGACCTGAGTGGACTGGTGGGGGGGGGACCCTGGGACCCCTTCCTGCCCCCCTCCAGGCAGGGAATGAGCAAGGGCCCACCCAGATGATGGGGTCTCTCTCAAGAGCTGACCGGCCCCTCAGGGTGACCCTAGAGGGGGAACGCACTCTGGGGCTCCTGGAACACACCAGAACCTAGTCCAGGGGGCCTGGCCAGCCTCCCAAGGTGAGGTCACTGGACAGATGCCCCTTGCTGTTGGCTCTCTCCCTGAAAGCAGGATGGCAGCGCACCCCACCCTGCAGCCCCCACCTGGTTCTCATAGGCCTCCTCCCGGCACCGGATGAGGACGTCGCTGGCACACACGTACACGTAGACCTGGTTGTCGCAGGCGATGCCCCAGCAGCACTGCGCAGTGGCGCTGACCCGCTTGAACTCCAGCTGTGTGTCCTTGCAGAGCTCCCAGTACTGACCGGCCGTGGACAGCGTGTGTACGTGCCCAAACAGGTCTACCGCCCACAGCACCGAGCTGGGCATGGCGGCTGTCAGCGCCCCTGGTCTTTCTGTCCCTCCAACTTGGGGAACATTTGTTCCAAACAGAGAAGTAGAGAGGAAAGAAAGAAAATGTCACTCCCAACCATCTAGCAGTGAATTTGAATATTTGGCTATATTTCCTTCTGATCTTTCAGGTCAAAAAGCATCAGACCTTGGGGCTGGAGCGATAGCACAGCAAGTAGGGTGTTTGCCTTGCATACAGCCAACCCGGTTTCGATTCCCAGCATCCCATATGGTCCCCTGGGCACCGCCAGGAGTAATTCCTGAGTACAGGACCAAGAGTAACCCCTGTGCATCACTGGGTGTGACCCACTGTCACTGTCACTGTCCTCCCATTGTTCATCGATTTCCTCGAGCGGGCCCAGTAATGTCTCCATTTTAAGACTTGTTGTTACTGTGTTTGGCATATTGACTACGTCATGGGTAGCTTGCCAGGCTTTGCCGTGCGGGCAAGATACTCTTGGTAGCTTGCTGGGCTCTCCAAGAGGGGTGGAGGAATCGAACCTGGCTCAGCAGGGCTGGCTGCACACAAGGCAAAAACGCCCTATCACTGTGCTATGGCTCCAGTCCGGGTGTGACCCAAAAAACAAAAAGAAAACAAAACAAAAGCATCAGGCCTGGGGTGAGGCTCAGGGAGAGTATGTGCCCAGCAGGCATGAGGCTGTGAGTTCGACCTCTGGCACCTCCCCACATGCCATCTGGGCAGCACACTGCACCCAACTGTGTGAGCCTAACAGACCAGCAAGAAGATGCAGGGTAAGAATAAACGGCTGCTGGGCTGGAGCGAGCTTGAGGGGCTGGAACGCACTTCACACGCAGGCAGTCTGGCATCCATCCTGGGTACCACAGGGTCCCCTGAGCACTGTCGGGGTCGGGAGTGACCCAGGAGCAGAGCTGGGAGTAGCAGAGGGCAGGTTGTGGCCTGACATTTAAAAGGGCTGGATGGGACTGGAGTGATAGCACAGCGGGTAGGGCGTTGGTCTTGCATGTGGCCGACCCAGGTTTGATACCCAGTATCCCATATGGTCCCCCCAGCACCACCAAGAGTAATTCCTGAGTGCAAAGCCAGGAGGAACCCTTGAGAATCACCGGGTATGACCCAAAAAGAAAAAAAAAAAAACTAAAACTAAAACTAAGGGCTGGAGCAATAGTACAGCGGGCAGGGTGTTTGCCTTGCAAATGACTGACCTGGGTCAGTTCCCTGGCATCACATATGGTCCCTCAACCTTGCCAGGAGTGATCCCTGAGCACAGAGCTAGGAGTAAGTCCTGAGCACTGCTGGGTGGGGGCCAAAAACCAAACAAAACCAGAAGATCTCTCTGCCCCAATTCACCCCACAGGCCGCCGTTAGTGGAGTGGGCTGTGTGCGGGCACTCATCCGCTCCCTCCTTCAGAGAAGTGACTAAGCAGTAATCTCCACTTGGCATAATTGGCCCTTGGGGCAACTAAAACAGGAGACTGTGGTTCTGAGCGAGGATTGGGTGGTGTGGGTGTGGATTCTGGGACCAGCGACTGTCCAGGCAAAGACACAGGGGACAGCAATGTCAAAGCATCTCCTTTTCTTTTTAGCATTTTGGGTCACACCAGTGACAGTTGCGAGTTAGTCCTAGCTCAGCGCTCAGGAATTACTCCTGGTGGTGTGCAGGGGACCAATGTGGGATGCCGGCTTCCAAACCTGGGCTTGGCTGTGTGCAAGGTGAACACCCTCCCCGCTTGTACTATGGGCTCTGGCCCTTAGAGTACCTCCTTTGGTCCTGCACCCCCAGCTCCTCAGGTGCCTCTTCTGGGCTGACCCAGGTAACTGTCCGGGGACACGAGGTCAGAGGGAGCTCCCTGAAGGAAGGCTGTCGCGGGGACAGCAGGGCCCCTGGGTCACGGGGAGGAGGGAACACCGTCCCCCAAAAGCAAGCGCAGCTTGAGCGTCCCAAGCGTCTCTGCCGCGGGCTGGCGCCGCCCTCGGAGCCATCTGCATGTTCAGGCGCTCGGGGCCATTAGCCGAAGGAAGCCTCGGGGGACTTCCAGAAAGTGGGGTGTGGCGGCAGGAGGGGCGGTCCCTGCCGACTGCTACAGAGACATCTGTCACTCCGGCCGTGTGCAAACACACCGCGGCTCAGACGGCGGCAGGGGCGACCTCAGGGTCGCGGGGTGGGGGGGGGTCGCAGTTTCTGAGCTGGGGGTCCTGCCCGAGAGCCCGCGGCGACGCGGCCGTCCGCGCTCGGTCCCCCGCAGCGCCGCGCAGGCCGGGCCGCAGGTTGGGGCGGGATCGGCGCGCCCCGGGCGACAGGTGGCCCGGCCCGGTGCCCTCCCGCCGCGCTAACCCAGCGCCACGCCTCTGTCCCGCCGGCTGGGCTGCCCAGAGCGGGGCGCCGCGCTCCTCGCGGCTCGTCTCTCAGCCCTGACGGCCCCGACGCGGGCGGCGCGGTCAGGTGGCCGCGGGGATGCCCGGACGCCAGCCGAGACGGGGGCGTCGCTGCCCGCCCGGATCGGAGGCCCTCCCTGTCTCCTGCCGCGGGGATCCCGGGCCCTGGCCCAGCTGTCCCCCCGCCGTTGTTCCCCGCCGCTGTCCCCGCCGCAGCACTCACCGTGCCCGGCGCCCCGCGGGGGTCGCAGCGATCGCTGCACGGCTCTGAGAGAGCGGCCGGCCTCCCCCGCGGCGCCGCCCCCGCGCGCAGGAAGCGGCAGCCGGGCCCGCACCCATTGGCCGGTCTCTCCGTGACGCAACGCCAGGCGCTCCGCGATTGGCTGAGCGGCGCCAGGGAGGTGGGCCGGCCGGGGGTCGCGCGCACGCCCACTTCCGGGGTCGCCCTGGTCTGTGGCGCTGAGGGCTCCCGAGGCGTCTGTCCGCGCGCCTTTCCCGGACCCGCGCTCGGCTTGCAGGCGAGGAGAGGGGCTGAGGGGGACTGCGGGGGGCACCGGAGACGGGCTCCTGGGGTCCCCGCGACGTGCTGTGTGTGTGTGTGTGTGGGGGGTGTGATTCCCCGCTGAGCCGGAGCCCCCGCCTTCCCGCCGCGACCCCACGACTGCGGGAAGGAGCGAGCTGAGGCAAGTGACAGGTGACAGGTCAGGGTCCCGGCCCCCCCCCCCCGGCCCCTGCCTTCCTCTCCCCCGGAGCCCGCGAGGCGCCGAGGGGTGTCGTGTCCGTCTCCCGGAGGATGGACCCCGGGGCGGGGCGCCCGCCCGCGGATCTGAGGCGAGCCCTGGGGACACAGCGAGGGGAGCCTTCGGTCTGGATTTCTTTCCTTTCTTTGCTTTTTTGGGTCACACCCCCGGTGATGCTTAGGGCTGACTCCTGGCTCTGTGCTCAGGAATTGCTCCTGGCGGTGTTCGGGGACCCAATGGGATGCCGGGGGTCGAACCCGAGTCGGCCCAGTGCAAGGCAAACACCCTCCCTGCTACGGCCCCTCCAGTCCGAGATTTCCAGTCACTTTGTCCTCTGTCTTCCCAGCCCTCAGAGCGGAAGGCGGTGTTGATTGTATGTGGGCTCTGGGCACCGAGGGGGGTCCCTGAGGAAAGTGGGGTGCTTTGGGGGGGGCTCTGACCACAGGGACTGACAATTCGGGACTCTTGTCTCCAGCTATGTCCGTGAGCTTAAGGAGCTCACGTAGCACCTGCTGTGCCCAGGTGTCAGGACAGAGTTTAAAGCCAGTTTTCTGCAATCCAGTGGCTGAGTTTCTGGGGACCCATGTCCCCCCACCCACCCTACCCCGCCTTTGTCCTGGCCTTTATCCCTCAGCGAATAGGCTGCCTTTTACCACTCACCCAGAGTTGGCCTCATTCCTTCCCACTTCTCTTTATTATTTATTTATTTATTTTTGCTTTTTTGGGGTCACACCTGACGTTGCTCAGGGGTTACTCCTGGCTCTGCACTCAGGAATCACTCCTGGCGGTGCTGGGGGGACCATATGGGATGCTGGAAATCGAACCCGGGTCGGCCGTGTGCAAGGCAAACGCCCAACCTGCTGTGCTATTGCTCTAACACCCTCCCCCCCCCCAATTCTCTTATTTTAACCTTTCCTCCTTGCTGTCTTTTTTTGTGGGGGAATTTTGGAGCCATACCCAGTGGCGCTCAGGGCTTACTCCTGCCTCTGCTCTCAGAAATCACTCCTTGCAGGGCTTGGGGCACCCTGTGAGGTGCTGGGGATGGCACCTGGGTTGGCTGGGTACAAGGGGAGTCCCTTAACTTCTGTGCTCTCTGGACCTTGCTTTCTTTCCATCCTAGTCTCGCCATCTCCTGGGTCAGATCGTGGGTTTGAATCGAGCTCCGTCACAAAACTCGGTTCACAGCCTTGGAACTACTGTTCCTCTCGGTAACAAGGGCCATCCCTCCCCTCCACCCCGCCTCGCAACCTGTCTCTGGGTTATACGGGGAGGTAGCGAGAAGATGTTGGGAGAGTGCTTACATGCCTTGCACCCAGCAACTGCTCCCATTTTGTTCATAATTTTATTATAATTGTCATTTTTATTATAGCACTGCACTGTATAGCACTGTCCTCCCATTGTTCATCGATTTGCTCGAGTGGGCACAAGTAACGTCTCTATTGTGAGACTTGTTACTTTTTTTTTTTTTGGTTTTTGGGTCACACCCGGCGATGCTCAGGGGTTACTCTTGGCTCTGCACTCAGGAATTACTCCTGGCCGTACTTGGGGGACCATATGGGATGCTGGGAATTGAACCCCGGTCGGCCGTAGGCAAGGCAAACGCCCTACCCGCTGTGCTATTGCTCCAGCCCCAAGACTTGTTACTGTTTTTGGCATATCGAATACGCCACAGTTAGCTTGCCAGGCTTTGCGTGTGGGCGCGATACTCTCAGTAGCTTGCTGGGCTCTCCGAGAGGCAGAGGAGTTGAACCGGGGTCGTCCATGGTCGGCTGCATGCAAGGCAACCGCCTTGCCACTGTGCTATCGCTCCACCCCATTTTATTATAACCTTCATATATAGGCTTGGGGCCATTGGCAGTTGCTTAATGAGAGTCCCAGAAACCTTTTTGCACCAGTACTGGGCCAGTCCAATTTCTGGTGATTGCTCGAGAAACAGATACCTTGCTCCAGCACTGGGGATTGTGAGGGGGCTGGGCTGATACTGGACAGGACTGATGGGCCTCCTCCACAGCCACCCATGAGCCACTGGAGAGAACCCCAACTTGCGCACAATTTTCTCCTTAGGAACCTCAATGTAGGGTGGCTCCTGTGAATTTCTAAGCTTCAGCCTTTGGTCGAATTTACTGCTATGGGCCCTCCATGGCCCTGTGCCTGGCAGAGGAAACCTCACAGATAACATTCAGAGAAAAGTGCAATTGAACTTCATTTTTGGGTGTAGATTCACATATCTATTGGCCACAACACTTTGAAGAAGAGAAATTATGTATAACCTTAAAATCTCTAAAACCTGTGACCAAAGAGCTAGTAAAGGGGTTAAGGCATTTGCCTTTCACGAGGCTGACCCAGGTTCAATCCCCAGAACCAGCTAGGGTCCCCTGAGCCCTGTTAGGAGTGATCTCTGAGCACAGAACCAGGAGTAAACCCTGAATATAGCAGGGTGGGACTCACAATTAAAATCTCAAATATCTAAAGCACAAACACAGACATTGGACTAAACTTGGGAGCAGTCACAGTTGCCAGTGAAAATAGCTGTTAGACTTTCTCTTCACTTTGCGAAGTCATGTGAACACAGCCTGCAGCTCTGCACCCCCACTGCAGGCAGCCCTGGGCCTGCGGGTAAAGTCAGTGACACTCTGCATATACCACGGGGAATTCTTGGGTTGCGACCCAGAAAGAAGCAGGGCATCCGCAGAAGCTTACTGTGACACTTTCCGAATCAGCAGAAGGGCTGGACAGCCCGAGTCAAAGAACAGGTACCATAGCCCACACTGGCCGCAGCATCCACTGATGTGGTACTGGTGCCCGTGGCATTGCCTGCTGCCTCTTCTGCCACTCATTCTGGACTCAGGAGGCGGGATGCTGTAGCCACCAGAGCATACATCCAGTCTGTCCTTTTATTTATTCATTTTGCTTCTTGGGTCACACCGGCAATGCTCAGGGGCTATTCCTGGTTCTGCACTCAGGTATTACTCTTGGCGGTGCTCGGGGGACCATATGGCATGCTGGGGATCAAACCCTGATTGGCTGCATGCAAAGCAAATGCTCTGCCCGTTGTACTATCACTCTGGCCCAAGTTCTTTTATTTTTTAATTTAAAATAATTGAGTTTTGTTTTGGGCTACACCTTTCTACTCCCTTCCTGGCTCTATGCTCAGGGATCACTCCTGGCAGGCTTGAGGGATCATATGTGGTGCCAGAGATCGAACCTGGGTGGGCTGTGTGCAAGCATCCTACTCACTGTACTACCTCTCCAGCCCTCAGTATGTCCTTTTTTATTTTTTTATGTTTTTGTTTTTTGGGTCACAACCAGTGGTGCTCAGGGGTTACTCCTGGCTCATGCACTCAGGAATTACTCTTGGTGGTGTTTGGGGGATTATATGGGATGCTGGGAATCGAACCTGGGTCGGCCGCGTGTGAGGCAAATGCCCTACCTGCTGTGCTATCGCTCCAGCCCTTCAGTCTCTCCTTTTGATGACAGTGTAGACAGAGTCCAAAGGCTGTACAAATACCAATACTGTGGTATTTGCCTGTGAGCAAAACCGCTCCCACCAGCAGTTTCCCCACAGGCCTTTGGTGAATCTTAGGCCCACAGGCAGAGCAGACAAAGGCCAGGAGAAAGAAAGCTCTGGGCATTTAGGGATAGTCTGTCTGGACATTTTGGGGAGACTGACCGTGTCCTTCCACAGGTAGCCAAGGATAAAGACATGTCCCTGTTCAAAGGAAGTCAAGTGAAGAAAAACTTCCTAGAGGACAACTGTGCAGGGAGCCAAGTATGCCAGGAAAGGTGCAGGGGTGGTAAGGCCCTGACTAGCCGGAGGGCCTCCAGAATGAAGACATGTGCATCCTGATACTACGTGGAGCTCCTTTTGCAGGTAGAAAGGGGGCTGGGTGGTGTGTTTGCAAGTCGGTGTCCCTGAGCACTCTGGCCTTCACCCTCACTTGACAAGGCTGGATCTGGTTGTCTTGGGTTCAGCCTTCAGGAATTGGCCCTGAGCCATGCTCCTGATCCTGCTCTCCTGAGCTGTGCTCAGCTGTGGGATTTCTCCTGTGAGGCCTTGGGCAGGCGCCCAAATCAAGCTGAAAGAATGGAGCCTCAGAGCAGTGGCCCAGCCTGGCATCCAGTAGCCCCAGGGCCCAAGAGCAGAGGAGCTTGAAGAACATGGAGGACTCTGGGAAAGCCCCCTGCACCCTGATTCTGGGAGATGGCTGCTGCAAAGCAATAAACATGGGCGGGACGAACAATTACATCAGTGTAATCTACAGGTCCTGGTGACCTGTCACTTCTCCATATAATCCCTCCTACATGGTGACATGTGCCGATCTCGGCTTTTTCTGGGGAACAGAATCCTGCAGAGTCACAGGGTTGGCAGTGGGTGTTGAGTGGCTGTGAGTTTGCTGGAGGGAGCTTGGATTTGAGTCCAGAGCCACTGAGGCTGGTGGTGCTCAAGGACCCTTTGTAGCATTGGGGATTGAACCTGGGTCACTGTATGCAAGGCAAGTGTTTTAACCCATGGATTATCTCTCCGGCCCCA